CAGACTTCTAGTCCCAGCTACTTGGGAAACTGAGGTGGAAGGATTGCCTAAGTCCAGGAGGTGGAGGTTGTGGTGAGCTGTGATCGTGCCACTGTTTTCTAGCTTGTGTACCAGAGTGAGACCTCAACTCAAATTCAAAAAAGAGCTGATGCAGACCTGAAATGGGCAGCCAAGCACAACCATTTGGTAGTGATAGAGACCTAGAGGTAGGTCCTACAAAATGGGGATTAACAGCTGGAGGTGAGGGAGGCAGAAGGAAGTCAGGGAAGTGCCCACATTTCTGATTTGAGGGCTTAAACTGTGATGGGCAGAAGCAGAAGGCCTGTGAGGGTAAGATGACTGGTTCAGAGAGGTTGAGTAAAGTGCTGAAGGTCCTACAGCAAATGTATTTTAGAGCCCAGCCTGGGCCCCAGTCCCTTTCCTCTACTTCTGGGAAGATCCAGTTATTTAATCAAATCATTCTCTATCATTTAGATTTAGTGAATGCAACCCATGGGTGCTGTCTGTTTGAATTTTAATTGTAGAAAGGAAAGCTTGATTCTCCTGGAAAGGATTTCAAGCCTCTGGGAGGAGGGTAAGGGGAGTTTTGAAGCCTATTTCTTTCTTTCCTCTCTGCTTTCCCTCCCTTCCATCTTTCCTTTTCTCCCTCCCTGCATCTTCTGCCTTTCCTCCATCTCTGCCTTGTCAAGCAAAAGTGGCTAGTTTAACTCTTTTCGTGGGACCTGGGAGAGGACCCTGCTTGAACCAACTTGTGTCTTCCCTAGGACTAAAGATGTGCTCTTTGTGTACTTTAGGATATTGGATACTGTTTGTTAGATTTTCATAATCCTTTGTGTCGGATATTCCTTTTGCTAGTACCAGTACCAAATGTTTACTGTTGACTCTGCTAAGCACTTGACATTTATTAGCTCACTTATTCCTCACAACACCCCGGAAGGTTGGGGTTGTTTTTTTTTGAGTTGGAGTCTCGCTCTGTGCCCAGACTGGAGTGCAGTGGCATGCTCATAGCTACTGCAGCCTTGAACTGCTGGACTCGGGCAATCCTTCCGCTTTAGCCTACCAAGTAGGTGGAACTATAGGCACGCACCACCATGCCCAGCTAATTTTTGATTTATTGTAGAGATGAGTTCTCGCCAAGTTTCCCAGACCGGTCTTGAACCCGTGGGCTCAGGCAGACTTCTCACCTTGACCTCCCAAAGTGCTGGGATTATAGATGAGAACCACAACACCTAGCCTGGTTGGAGTTGTTGATCTCATTTTATAGATGGGCAAACAGAAGCTCAGTGATTTTTTTTCTCATCGCTCAGCCAACAGTGACTGGAGCCAGAATTGACCAGAATCTAAGTCTAAGACCTGTGTGTGCTCCCATTCTTCAGCACACCCTGCCTTCCTCAAGGCAGCACTTTTGGCAATGAATTTTCTTAAAGCCTTCTTCTTGGGAGTCCTGGGTGTCGCTGGACCTGTTAATACTGTTTATGCTTTGCTGGGACAGCAGCATGGGTTGCGGGGAGTTTCTGCGTTCTAGGCTCAGATTGTTCTTGGGGGAAACCTTAATTCCTGTCTGAGTCTCTTTGCCTTTGGTACATTCCCTCTGCCTAAAATTATCTTCCCCGAGATCTTCACATGGCAGTCTCCTTGTCATTCAGATCTCTGTTTAAGGCTGGTTGCGGTGGCTCACGCCTGTAATCCCAGCACTTTGAGAGGCCGATATGAGAGTATTGCCTAGGCCATGGGTTCCAGACCAGCCTGGGCAACCTGGCGAGACCTCATCTCTACAATAAATCCAAAAATTATAGCTGGGTATGGAGGCGTGTGCCTGTAGTCCCAGCAACTTGGAAGGCTGAGGATCACCTGAGCCCATCAGGTTGAGGCCGTGGTGGCTGTGAGCGTGCCACTGGACTCTAGCCTGGGCAACAGAGTGAGACTCCAAGTCAAAAAAAAAAAAAAAAAATTAGCTGGGTGTGGTGACACATACCTGTGGCTCCAGCTACTTGGAAGACTGAGCCAGGATTGCCTAAGTCCAGCAGGTTGAGGCTGCAGTGGCTGTGAGTGTGCCGCTGCACTCCAGCCTGGGCAACATCGAAACTCTTAACTAAAAAAAAAAAAAAAATTGTTGCATTTAAAAAATGTGCATACTTATTAGGCTGGACGTGATGGCTTGAGCCTGTAATTTCAGTACTTTGGGAGGCCCAGGCGAGAGAATTGCCTGAATCCAGGGGTTTGAGACCAGCCTGGGCAACTTGGTGAGACTTTGGGCATGGTGGCATGCACCTGTGGTTTCAGCTACTTGGAAAGCTGAGGTGGAAGGATCGCCTGAGCCCAGCAGGTTTAGGCTGTGATGGTTGTGTGCGTGCCACTGCACTCCGGCCTGGTTGAGAGAATGAGACTCCGACTCAAAAAAAAAAAAAAAAAGGGTCCTCAACCTTTTTCGCATGGGGGGATGATTTCAGGATGTTGCAGGCACATTACACTTATTGTGTACTTTATTTTTATTATTACTACATTGTAATATAAAATGAAATAATTATATAACTTACCAGTGCAGAATCAGTGCAAACCTTGATCCTGTTTTTCTGCAACTACTCAGTTCCATCTGAGGATGATGGGAGACAGTGACACCCAAAGTGTGTTGTTTATGTCCAGTCTACTCCATAATCTCATTTTGGTTGGTGTCACTGCAGAATATCTTGCTTCACAAAGGTAGGATGTTGGAAATGGAAGCAGGCTTTTCAGTGCTTTTAGGCAATCTCAGGATATTCCACCTTGACTGTAATCAAGTACGCACGGAGATTTGAAGTTGTCTCAAACATACTTTTTTTTTTTTTTTT